ATCCTTCCAACCCTGCAAAAAATAAAGGCACAAGAGATTTTGGATTGATATTCTTGGATCCTCTGTAGCTTAGAGATGATTATTTTTTTCTTTTTTAAGGCATAAAACAACAAGAATTTATTCTCTCTTCTCTGGTGGTCCTAGGAGCCAGAAGTCCAAGAACAAAGTGTCATGGGCCATGTCCCCCTGATGTTCTATGAGGCACCCTTCCTGCCTCTTCCGGCTTTGATGGGCTGACACTGCTTGGCTGAGGCCACATGCCCCTGCTGTCTCCTGGTGGGGATCTATCTTCACATGACCTTCTCCTTGAGTGTCTGGGTCTCTCTCTCTTTTTTTTTTGGGGGGGGGGTCTCTTTTTATAAGGCATCTTACATGAGATTCAAGGCCCGCCCTACTCCAGTATGACCTCATCTTAACTACTTACACCTTCAAAGGCCTTATTTCCAAATAAGGTCGCCTTCTTTTTCATTTGTATTTGTTTTGTTTTGTTTTCAATGGGGGTATAGCTGCTTTACAATGTTGTGTTCGTTTCAGCTGTACAAAGTGAGTCAGCTATATGTATACATATATCCCCTCCTGGAGGAACCATTTTTAAGTACTCTGCACAGCAATTTTTATTCAGATAAATGTTTGACTACGAGGGGTTCCCTGATAGCTCAGTTGGTAAAGAATCCGCCTGCAATGTGGGAGACCCCAGTTCGATCCCTGGGTCGCGAAGATCCCCTGGAGAATGGATAGGCTACCCACTCCAGTATTCTGTCCTGGAGAATTCCATGGACTGTAAAGTCCATGGAGTTGCAAAGAGTAGGACACTACTGAGCGACTTTGACTTTCACTTGGAAGGATGAACGATTAGCAAATCAGATAGTGTTTCTTGGTTAGAAAAAAAGGGGGGGGCATCTCAGGAAAGAAAGGATATATCTTACTTTGCAAATTCTGCAGCCCCTTGAAAGGGGAGTATTTGCTTTATAAATTTTAAATCACAAAGTAATCAAATTAATTAATAGTTGCCTACCTGCTGCTGCTGCTAAGTCACCAAGTCCAACTCTGTGCAATCCCATAGACGGCAGCCCACCAGGCTCCCCCATCCCTGGGATTCTCCAGGCAAGAACATTGGAGTGGGTTGCCATTTCCTTCTCCAATGCATGAAAGTGAAAATTGAAAGTGAAGTTGCTCAGTCAAGTCCGACTCTTCGTGACCCCATGGCCTGCAGCCCACCAGGCTCCCCCGTCCATGGGATTTTCCAGGCGAGAGTACTGGAGTGGGGTGCCACTGCCTTCTCCGGTTGCCTACCTAATACCCCCAAATTTTGTTTGCATTAGAATTATAATGCTGAAACTAATTTTTCCCACCCCAATAAATCTTTAAATTTGGGCCAGCTGGGTCTTGATATAAGCCATATTCACTAAGCAAATATCTTATGAAAAGTGATTGCATCTTAATTCTTCTATGAAGATCAGGGATAAAATTCTTCAAACAGAATAATATAAAAAGCAGGAACAAAATGACTTTTTACATTAGGAAACAGCTTCAAAAATATTAATACTTCTCTTCTCCGCCCCCCCTCCTCATGAAAAGCCATAATCTTTGTCAACTTAGGGACAGAACCTTAGAGAATAATGTTAAAACACTGGCATATTACATCATTGTACTCACTGTTTAAGAAGGTGAAATCTTTCATTAGGAATCCTTGAGTGAGAATACGTGTGTATGTCCTAAAGCTTGATTGACTGAACCTATGCTGCCAGCCTGCACGACGACCCCAGTGAGTTCAAACAAGGCTGAACTTTGTAACATCATCTCATTTGAAGAAATGACCATGTATTACTTACAAGCCTACATCATAAAAGACATCTGGCTTCCACCAAAATGCAGTTCCTGGGTGCAGTCTCAAAAACGAAAGAATGATCTCTGTTCGTTTCCAAGGCAAACCATTCAATATCATAGTAATCCAAGTCTATGCCCCAACCAGTAATGCTGAAGAAGCTGAAGTTGAACAGTTCTATGAAGACCTACAAGACCTTCTAGAACTAACACCCCCCCAAGAGATATCCTTTTCATTATAGGGGGCTGGAATGCAAAAGTAGGAAGTCAAGAGATACCTGGAGTAACAGGCAAATTTGGCCTTGGAGCACAAAATGAAGCAGGGTAAAGGATAAGAGAGCTTTCTCAAGAGAACGCACTGATCATCACAAACACTCTCTTCCAACAACCCAAGAGAAGACTCGACACATGGACATCACCAGATGGTCAACACTGAAATCAGATTGATTTCAGTCTGAAATCTTTGCAGTGAAAGATGGAGAAACTCTATATGGTCAGCAAAAACAAGACTGGGGGCTGACTGTGGCTCAGATCATGAACTCCTTATTGCAAAAGGAGAAAGAAGAAAGTAGGGAAAACCATTAGACCGTCCTGGTATGACCTAAATCAAATCCCTTACGATTATACAGTGGAAGTGACAAATAGATTCAAGGGATTAGATCTGATAGACACAGTGCCTGAAGAACTATGGATGGAGGTTCGTAACACTGTACAAAAGGCAGTGATCAAGACCATCCCCAAGAAAAAGAAACTCAAAACGGCAAAATGGTTGTCTGAGGAGGTCTTACAAATAGCTGAGAAAAGAGAAGCTAAAGGCAGAGGAGAAAAGGAAAGATATACCCATTTGAATGCAGAGTTCCAAAGAATAGCAAGGAGAGATAAGAAAGCCTTCCTCAGTGATCAATGCAAAGAAATAGAGGAAAACAATAGAATG